GACCAGCAGCAGACCTGCTGACCACCAGCTGACCCTCTGACCACCAGCAGACCCTCTGACCAGCAGCAGACCCTCTGACCACCAGCAGACCCTCTGACCACCAGCAGACCCTCTAACCACCAGCTGACCCTCTGACCACCAGCAGACCCTCTGACCACCAGCAGACCCTCTTACCACCAGCTGACCCTCTGACCACCAGCAGACCCTCTGAACAGCAGCAGACCCTCTGACCACCAGCAGACCCTCTGACCACTAGACGACCTTCTGAACAGCAGCAGACCTTCTGACCACCAGCTGACCCACTGACCACCAGCTGACCCTCTGACCACCAGCAGACCCTCTGACCACCAGCAGACCCTCTGACCACCAGAAGACCCTCTGACCACCAGCAGACCTTCTGACCACCAGCAGACCTTCTGACCACCAGCAGACCTCTGACCACCAGTTGGGTGAAGTTTCTTGCCCAAGTACACAACTGAGATGGATGGAACTGGGGATCAAACCGGCAACCCACTCGTTACAGGATGTCTTCCCTAACCACTCAGCCACAGATTCAAAGAAATATTATTGTTTGTCAGGTTGTAACAGAAAAATGTCTTAGGTCTGTGCTAGAGGCTCCGCCACAATAAAACACACAATAAAACAAATCCCACATAAAACCCCAGGTCCCATAAATCACTTCTAATATCTAAAACCATGTACTCCTTACAAACATTTGCACATTTACAAATTTTTTCATTTAAGCTTAGACACATGGACCTCTACTGTCATAATGCTTTATTTGTGTTTTAGTCATTGCACCTCCTTTACATGACAAATCTCAAATCTTCTAGATATTTTTTACAGACTCCAAGTTTAATCTAAATTTATACAAGTTGGAATTTTTTAGTATGACAGAGCATCTCCATCAGTAGCAGTCTGTTTCACACTCCCACTGTGGGCTCTGTGCTAAAGGCTGCAGCCACATGCGGTTCATTGCAGTGACTTGTGGTGAGGTTCATGGATGGTGAGGTTCATGAATGGTGAGGTTCATGAATGGTGAGGCTCATGGATGGTGAGGCTCATGGATGGTGAGGCTCATGGATGGTGAGGTTCATGGATGGTGAGGTTCATGAATGGTGAGGCTCATGGATGGTGAGGCTCATGGATGGTGAGGTTCATGATGGTGAGGTTCATGAATGGTGAGGTTCATGGATGGTGAGGTTCATGGATGGTGAGGCTCATGGATGTGAGGTTCATGAATGGTGAGGCTCATGAATGGTGAGGTTCATGGATGGTGAGGTTCATGATGGTGAGGTTCATGATGGTGAGGTTCATGAATGGTGAGGTTCATTGATGGTGAGGTTCATGAATGGTGAGGTTCATGATGGTGAGGTTCATGGATGGTGAGGTTCATGGATGGTGAGGTTCATGAATGGTGAGGTTCATGGATGGTGAGGTTCATGAATGGTGAGGTTCATGAATGGTGAGGTTCATGATGGTGAGGTTCATGATGGTGAGGTTCATGATGGTGAGGCTCATGGATGGTGAGGTTCATGGATGGTGAGGTTCATGAATGGTGAGGCTCTCAGTTCATCAGAATCAGATTTACAAATATATGAACCTACAGAACAACTTATTCAGCACATGACTGGCAGAAGTTAATGAGTTATGTCTCATATCTCATATCAGTGTTCTTTAAACAAACTGCAGCTCATTTCATGCACATTTCGTTAAAAAAAGTTATTATGTCCTACCCTACCTTACCTTTACCGCTCAAAATATCCCATCTGAGTCCACAGCTGTCACAAGTTGAAAAATGTCAGGGTGAAAAAGTTTCTCTCAGGACATCCACAGTGTCCAACTGTTTCAGAAGAGTTTTAGTCTCAGCTGTGGTGTGGCTCTTATTTACCTGCTGCTTCCAAGTCCAGTTTAGAAAACAGTTTAAGCTTTAAAATATATAATCCTCCATTCTAAAAGTCAGGTTTAAAAGAGAGAAAATGAATGGATCCCTGCTGTACTCTACTTTTTTAACTTTATAAACTGAAACTTTACAAAACTGGTACCTTAAACACTGCACTTGGCTTTCTAACTAACTTTTAGTTCTTATTCTGCAGCTAACCTCTGCTGCAGCTCATGCATTCTCTGAGCTCATGAGCGCCCCCTGCTGTTCCTTGAGCCTGAAAAAGATTTTCCTCCCTTCGTGTCTTTTCTCACCCCTAATTACATGTGTTACCCCGGATTTATACTACACGCGTCTCCGCTGCGGTGCGCAGGTCGCAGCTGTGCGTTTCAAGTCCAGTTTACACTACCTCCGCTCAGCTCCGGTCCGACAGACGTGCAGGAAGCAGATCGCGRYATAAATTCAGTGATAAATGTGGAAGTGACAGCAAAAAATAATTAATTCTGTGAAAGACGAACTCCAAACACAGCTGAAAACAATGATATAAAGGCTTTTGATATCTATGTTGAAACTGTCTCGCTGTCAGCTTTCTGAAACTTCTGATTTCAAAATAAAATCCACATGTATCGTGTGTGTGTGCACATATGCTTCATGCTACGTTTCCATCTGCTTCCCAAACAGAATGATACATTCAGACAGCATTTGTGTAGAAATATATCCGTATATTTATTAATATAGCTGCAATTTCGGCATTATTCTGACAAATTATCCAGCCTAAAATTGTCTTATTTTGAAAATACGGATGTTGTGCTCGTTTTTTTTCCTGTTGATGCAACGTAATCTTTAAAAACTGACTCCGACGCAGCTCCGGTGTCTGGCAGAAATAGGATCTGTTCTAATTTTGACGGATTGCCGTCCGCTCACCGCCGCCATGCGCAGCCAGTGTAAACACTCTCATTGAATATAATGGGTGTGTATTTGCTGCCGAGGTTGGACCGGAGCGGAGCCGYAACGCAAGTAGTGTAAAATTGGGGGTCAGCCGTTTCAGCTCACAGAACACGTTACACAAATACATATTTATAGAATAAACATCAGCTAAACTGTGGAATGTCAGGTGTGTATTAAAAATTCAGAAACATTTTACTGGTGACATATAGAGATATTTTCTGCTCTCAATACATAACATGCAGGAGGGATTGCGCAATACATGTGAGGACGGGTTGAAACGATTACGTAATCTGGAGGCGGAGCTTGATTTTTCCTCATAGTCCATCTTGTCCTGTATATAAGCAGATTTGTGCTTTCTAAAATTATAATGCAGTAGCTCTAATAACTAATTATCTACCAGTCATCATTATTTTGAACAGCAGAAGGTCAGGCTGTCAATGAATCACAACACACATGATCTATCCAACAGCACCCCTCCCAGATAAACACACTTATTGGGAAGGTATACATCCTTGCTGACTGTTGCGCTCGGTCACGGTTCTGATTTCCCACAATGCTTTGTGTCTGCTTATGTAGCAGGAAGGCAATAGCAAAAACAGTCAACGTTTGTAATCCATACTAAAATTTTGTATGTATTGATTTATTTTACTTTACAATCGGAGCACCTTTAAAAATAAAGTTTAAACGCTGGAGCTCAATACTTGACGTAATTGGTTGAAGCAATTAGCCATCAGGGTTAGAGACTCAGAAATGATTTAAAGTTGTTATGCCGATGAAGACTGACATCTAGTGGTCACCTGGAGCAACTACATGGAAAACTT